AAACGCTACAGGTAGTGGAAGGAGTGATAGTTTCATTGAAGGACTGATACGACAGTACTTAAATATTAATATTTATATTTAGTTTTGTCAATTTCAACTACCGAGTACAATCAGCAGTCAGCAGAGGCGTCACCTGGTATGAGGCACAATCAGGATATTATATCCTACCAGGGGTTCTGGGGGGTATAAAATGCCATCATAACACATGGTATAAACAACTGTCTTGTGAGTAGAGTTCAGTTAATATCCGAGAGTTTATTATTATTTTGTTAAATGTTGTTTTTTTTTTCTGTAATAAAATTAGTTATTCTTTTACAAGTTTTTGCAACTATGTAAGGAATATTTAATTAATTAATTAATTAATTGACGTTATAGTACAAATATTGTATAATATTTCAATAGATCACAAGATGCACAAAGCTAGAAAAAACAACGTGACAGCCAAGCTGTGTGTACAATAAAACAGAGACTTCATTGTTAGTAAACTTTGGAAAAACTCCAAATGGATGTTTTGTTCTCGGGATTCGAAGCCTATTGTTCGTAGGACCATAGTTATAAAACCAATTACACAAGTTTCGATTTAATATTCAAGTACATATTGTTATTGTGCCCTAGATATATGATGACAGTGTTGATAGAAGGTAGTATTAGATATGCATGCTGACTAAAATAAATCGGGACAGATGATATTTTTAAATTCAATAACGTAATTTGACGTGCTAAACTCGCAAACATTAAAACGAAAACATTATTATATTATTTATGACACATGGTTGCGCATAACGTCTTTTGTTAGAGAATTATGTAAATTGTATTGGCTAATTTAAACCAAATAGCCTAATGGTTTTTAACTTTTGTTGCTATACGCCAAAGATTTAAATCAATGATTGCATTTTACGCATGTTTATCATACTCTTAGTACTCATTATAAGGATGATCGGCTGAAAAGTAACATTCTTTTAAGAGTCATTTGGTTTTATCTTAATATTTCTTGGAATGTAGTCGATGTTAGATTGAGCCCTGTCCTTGTGCATGCAAGCGTACATACAAGCAAACATTGCTCTAAATAAGAGGTTTATTTTATATATAAAAAAATATTTAATAAAAAATAAAATAGATAACTACACAAAATAAAAAAATAAAAAAAGCTCACATGAGAGTATAAAATATGGTTATGGACATGGATTATGGATATAAGCTGGATTCTATAGCCATTGTCTGTGAACAGAAAGAAAATTTCCAGATTTACAAATTTTGTGCAAAGGCTAAACCTTTGATTCAAAAGTTTATTGCGGGCATAACAAAATTTGAGTTATGCACATAGACTATTACAAATTTTAGGTAATAATCTTTTCACCATTTGCTTTGTCATACATTTCGTACCGTTAATGTACAAGAATGTAATCGCTACAGAATGTACATAATGTGCTATGAATGTACTCGTCATACTTTACTCTTAAGCTATCCATTTCATCGATCCTGAGGGTTCCTACTCGGCGATATTTGCACGAGTATCACTGCAATAAGCACGTTACACTTATACGCTAACCCCATACGAAGGAAGGGTACACTGCTAGAAAGGTATTAGCTTTCTAACAAAGCAAGCTATTCCATATCACTGAGACGGTAAAACGGGGATTGCCCAACTCCGCGCAGTGGTCAAATTTAATCCGAGAAAAAGTTTTATGGCCCCCGAAGGGTTCAGCCCAACTCCGCGCGGTGGTCACTTTTAGTGTCGAATCCAACTCCGCGCAGTGGCCACTTCTAATATCTACAGTAGTTGTTTAGCTAACGTTTTTACTAAAACAAAGGCTACAACACATTTGATTGGACGTCCGTTGAAGTTTACAAAAAGTTTACTGCTGTTATTACAATAATACCCCCACCGCAGCAAAATTGCAGACTAAGCAAATTTCCATTTGCCTGATTGCATTAGGCCTACCAGAAAAATATCTGTTTTTAAAATATTACATTTATTCCCTATTTAAATAGTATTAGATTAACGAGTATACATAGGTTTGCTGCAAGAGGGAGGGGAAAAAGTGTTTTTGTGAAATGTCAATAGTTATGTGTAAAATAATAATGTATTTCCAAATTTAATCAAAATATGTTCCTTTTACAGGAAGTTACAACAGTTTACTTATTGCAATTTTTTTCTGTAACCATCATGGCGCATAATGAAAGGTATGGGGGTTTAGTGAGTGGGAGAAAATTTTGCGCCGTTCCGGCCAAACCTCGCATGCGGGGCTGGTTCGGCAGATTGGCCACAACCTAAACCCCAACTCTCACTTGTTAGCTGCGGAGATCTACCTTCTGCCACTGGGTGTTGGTCCACCTACAGAACCAAGTGAGGGGGGCCCTAGACTAAGGTGTAATGCGATCCGTGCCAAGAGTCTTGTGGCACTGGGGGCCTAATATTCAGTGTCTTAACGGAGCCTTCTGGGAACCAGGGGTAACCCAGTCGTACGCACCCCTTACCTCTCTAATCGGGTCACTGGGGAGGTGGACTTAAATACCCGGTATTCGTGAGAACAATGTAGACAATCTGACCCAAATGGAGGAGGAAGGTCTACTGAAATCTGACGATGACGACAAGCTCGCAGAAACCGGAAAGGAACGAAAAACGACTTTCCAAGGGCGAGTTGCAAAGATGGAGGATAGCGGATGCTTAAGCCAAAGGCGAAAAGGTGCTATCCAGAAGTGAGAGGAGGCTGGTGTGGGCTGCCAAGCACCCTAACTCTGCTGCCTGCAAAGCCAGTTCCTCCGGGAACTAGGATGCTGGGAAAAAGCAGAGCAAGGGTGGTACCCCCAAAGCTGACTCTAATGAAGCCTCCCGGAAGAAAGGTGGAGGCTGTGCTGACGCAGCCACAAAGGATTGGCTGGTCAAGCAAGTTCAGGAGCTGAGTCCTTTCAGGAAAATCTCGCTTCGGCTTGCCCCAGCCAGAGACCTTGTGAAAGCTGTGAAGGTATATTTATGTGCCCAGCCCTACAAGGTCTGCGTATGAGATCCCTCGTACGAAAAACGACTTTCCAGGGGTGAGTTGCAAAGACGGAGGATAGCGGATGCTTTAGCCAAAGGCGAAAAGGTGCTATCCAGAAGTGAGAGGAGGCTGGTGTGGGCTGCCAAGCACCCTAACTCTGCTGCCTGCAAAGCCAGTTCCTCCGGGAACTAGGATGCTGGGAAAAAGCAGGGCAAGGGTGGTACCCCCAAAGCTGACTCTACTGAAGCCTCCAGGAAGAAAGGTGGAGGTTGTGCTGACGCAGCCACAAAGGATTGGCTGGTCAAGCAAGTTCAGGAGCTGAGTCCTTTCGGGGAAATCTCACTACGGCTTGCCCCAGCCAGAGACCTTGTGAAAGCTGTGAAGGTATATTTATGTGCCCAGCCCTACAAGGTCTGCGTATGAGATCCCTTGGCCTATTGATGGGAGATCAAAGGGAAAAACAGGTTACCATAGTCAAAAGGCTCTCACGGTTCACTAAAGACCTGGGATTTGACGGAGAATGAGGATCTGTGAACGAGGGTGCACAATAAGCTGTTCTAGCTGCGATGCAATCCCATGGTAACTTGTAAGCCTGGCCCTGTATTAAAAAAAAAAAAAAAAAAAAAAATTGGCGCATAATAACGCTTCGATATTATACTAAATTATTTGTCTTTAAGCTCTACAAAATGCTTTCAACAGAAATTGCAAACATATTTTTAGGGTAAAAATTGGGGAAACCCAATTTTTACCCCATAAAACCTCCAGATAAACCCCCGTTCCCACGGTCCGATCGTGATGGTTCATGAACTCGGTCGAATATATGTAGGTTTACACGTTCATACAAAATTTAATTGGATCATTTTTGCTCGAGTTACCGTGCTAACGGACTTATATATAACATTAGCATGTAGTAAATACATATATGAATTTGAACCGATGGTGTTTTCAGCCTTTGGAACATAAAAACAAAAACAAAAAAAAATCTGTCCTACAGTAATAGCTTATTACCTATGGGAAATTCGCTAAAACGTTGGTCCTTTTTCAAACTTCCATTAGTGGTGTTTAAGCTTCACCTCCTGTTTTAGGTATTTATTATCCATTTCCCTTTCCTATAAATTATGAACATGCATAACAATTTCAAACCTTAAACACCAACTCTTAGCCGCCAGGGCTGTGAGAGCCAAAATTGACCACTGCGTGGAGTTGGACATGTGCCGCGAGGGACCCTAAGTGACCACCGCGCGGAGTTGGACAGTCAGTTTTGACAGATTTTGACCACCGCGCGGAGTTGGGATAAGCCCGGTAAAACAGTGAGTGTTTTCCCCTAGCACCTGCTGTATTAGTTTGGGCTTGTGTATCATTCGCTAGACTGACCTGTTAAAATTGAAATAACTTTTGAAAACTGTTTATGTGTACCTTAGGATGAAAACAATATTTGTTGCCATTTTTTTCATTATTGAATACAACCCCAATCCAAGATGGCTACCAAACGTCGTAGGAACGTGACTGTAAATTAAGATATAAGTGTTATAACTTTTCTTTGCAATGATAATTATATATTTTTTTGTGTTTAGGCATTTTAGGAACAAAACCAGTTGTAAGATATTTTTTTTAATTTTTGTGAGTATAACGTCCACTGATATTTGTGCGAATTTCGCGTGAAAATTACTGTAACTAAAATTTTACAGAACGGCGAAATCTTTTTTCTGGGACGTCAATTTAAAAATGAAAGCTGGCTATGGTATTTATTGATACTACAGATTCATTGTGTAATACAACACTGTGACTAATAGTGTACTTGGCAAGTTAAAATATTAAATAACAAAACTTACATCGTATACTAAACATATTATTAGTTACAGATATTAAATCTCTAAATGTATAAACTAAACAGTCATTGTTTTTCACTATCATAATCTGTTGCTCGTTCTAATGGGACGTTGTTACACTCAGCACATCCATACAATTCAGTGCAACGCAGAAAGAGTATGTACTCTTGCTTCTCTCGTGCTGTGACAGTCCGACGAGCCGAGCGCCGAGCCAAACATGCTCGCCGGTACGAAGGCTCGCAGACCCCATGCACGGGCGAGCATGTTCGCCGCCAACACCGTCACGAACATGTTCGCGAACATGCTCGGTGATTACTATCTGCTATGAACATATGCAGTAGGCTACTTTCTTCCTTCACCTTAATTACCTTATCGCAAACAGATATTGCCTTTGTCACATTTGATGACTTGAACGTCTACAGTTTTACTTTACTCATGCGATCCCAAACGCATATCTCCCCTTTACCCAAGTGCTGATGGACAAACGTTTCAAAACATTCTTGTCCAATGGTATCACGGTTGATCATTTGCTTCCTTTCGGTTATAACCTTGTTCAGAAGAGAGGTATGTAGCTTGGTTTCACTTTCATCAAAATGATTACATTGTGAGAGAAGTACGTATTTCAATTTGTCTATATTAAAGAGTGTTGTGTTTAGCTTGCTTCCCCAAATTTCGTGATGCATAGTCCTTATGGGACCCATATTAACATTGTACCGGTTTTCAAACTCATCACATAATCGTGACGTTTCTGGTGCTAGGTGCTACAATAAAGAACCTGTCAGAGGCAATGTCATTCTGTATCAATCCAACTATTCAACCAATTACTTTCAGTTTCCGGTTTTCATGCTCAATCCCATGATCAGGAGACCGTGTCTTGAAAGGCACGGATCTATTACTAAAATAGCATTATCAGCAATCTGACACATACCTTCTCCCGTTAGCTTGTCAACAACCTTTATCATGGGTTAGCGATGAGAGAGAATATGATATTTAATAGGTAAAATCAGAACATTTGCATTAACGTTTGAACCTCTATTTTTTACAGGAATGAGAGATTGCACTATTTTGTTAAGATTTATAAGGGCCATCAAAAATACTAATTTCAATCAAAACCGGTTTCCTTTTGAAAATCCTATTTTATTTTTTTCATGGGGTTTGTATGTTTGTAGGGGAAAATGACACGATAACTTTTAAACCGTATTTTTTACAGGAATGGGAGTTCTACCATTTTGTTCGAAATTTAAAGGGCTACAACATAATGAATTGCTATTAAAATCGTTCAGGCAATCAAAGAAAAATTAAAGAAAAACTTATATTTTTCCGCTATTTTATGGGGTTTTATGGTACAATCATCCCTAAAAATCTAAATTTCAAAAACATTAAAAAACTCCTAGAGATACCATGGATCATACCTGCAAAATTTCATCAAAATCAGACAACAGGTGTGGTATGTAGCTATGTACACATCCAGACAATCAGACTCACACACACGCACACACACAGACAGGCATCACTTCGAAAACCACTTGTTTGGGTCAAGGAGGACCCAATAAAAGGCACATATAATCAATATTACTTTTTTCAATAATCGTCGTAGCCAAATAAAAGGCACACGCTCATGTTAGTGAATTTCCTTATAGGGAATAATTAAGTAGCTACTGTATTACCGTAGGTGGCACGGTTATAATTTTTGGGTAATTTTTATCCTATTTTGATCAAATTTGGTTTTAAGTTGTAAGGCAGGGATAACTTGAATGAGTTCGCGAATCAGCATGATCGGAGCATGCGAACGGGGTTTAACTAGGGGTTTTATGGGGTAAAAAATAGTTTTTCTCATTTTTGAACCTCAAAACACAAAATTTTCCAATTTCTCTCTACAGCTTTTAAAAGAGCTTAAAAACAAATAATTTATTATAATAAAGTGTTTTTGTACGGTTATTGGTAAAGGAGAAAGTTCAAAAAATTTAAAACTAAAAATTCCCATGTTATTCTTATGAAGAATATTGTAAAATGTTGTTGTTTGCTTGCTTATGGATATATTTTGAGCAAACTTGGCAAATTTATTTATTTTATACTTAGCTATTAATATTGTAAAAAAATGCACTTTATTAGTTTCTTTGTAGAAGCAAACCTAGGTACCGTACTCATTAAAATAATGTTTTTAAATAGATTTAATTAAAAATTAATTCAGAAAAATGGAAATTTGCTTAGTCGGCAGGTTTGCTGTGGCGGGGGTATTTTATAATATTCGAAAATGAAGGTTAGAATCTCCTCTTTAAGAAAATAATAGTTTTATGGTATTTCTATGCAATAAATTATCATACTTTGCTACGGAATGTAGCAATGTTAAGGAAGGTAGTGGTTTTATGAGGCAAGGTCAAGGTTATATCCCCTATTAGATTTAGGGCGGGTTTCCGAGCTCGGGAATACGTAATCCTGGAGTTACTTAATCAGTGAATAAAGTTAGTCATCGAATAAAAAATCGGGTTTCAGAGCTCGCGAACTAACTCCCTAGTCCGCAGACTAGTCTATTCGACGACTAACTTTATTCGCCAACTTCTGGACTACTTATTCTAGGACTAAGGTAGGAATCACGGGAATTTTAGTTTTTGAGTGGTGGTAGGGGCAGCGGACAGACGAATTTAAGACGATACCTGCCAAAGTTGTTCACGGTCAGCGCTCATAGCTACATTAGTGTCTACTTTCTAGTCTGGTTCTAATCACTTATCAGTTGGGATAATGATTCCTTGAGTTTCACTGAAGATGGTAACTAAAAGAAGATATCGTGTTCAAAAACGTATGCCGAAATAAAAAACCCAGTTATGTGAACCATCATTTACAAAAAAAAAACCTGAAGGTTTATTTATTGCTGTTAAGTTTGATAAAAAAAAAACTTCCCGATTGAAGAATAAGGTGTCAAATGTGTTAGCCTATGCCTTTACTTTGTCCAAGTTATTTTTTTATGAGAATCTAAAAACTGTAGGCATTTGAGATATTAGAGATTGGTTGCGACTTTTGTAATCCTAATGCAAACCCCAATAATTGTCTATTTAAGGTCCCACAATTATTTTGAAATGAATACTGTATGATGATAAAAAAATAAAGGGAAATATTTTATTATTCTTTGAATGCAAATCAACCGTAAAAAATTATCATTATTACAACAATTTGTTGGTTTAACGCTCTAAGAGTAGGCATAGTTATAATTTATCTGCTTAGAATGTATTTGTGTTCTCTGATTGTTTTGTATTTTAACAATTCATCTGGAAGTACAATATGTAGTAGAGATTAAGTAGGTGTCCAAGCAACTTCAGTTAACTTCTAATCATCTGAGCTCCGGTTATCTGAGAATCCAGGTTATCCGAGTTAGCTCACGGCAGAAATATTTGTTATTTAACCAAATTCCAAATTGTTTTACTAGATATGAGTTTCAATTGAAAATAATCCTCATACAGAAGTCTTTTTTCGTTAGGCATACTGTTAATTTTGGTTAAAAGTATTCCTTAGTAAAATACTGCATTACAGTAGACTATCCGGACTCCTCAGTGCCGAGGCCAGTCCGAATAACGGGGTTTCCGGTTAAACCAACGTCCCCAAAAACTCGTTAAAATGGACCATTTAAATGCATGTAACCCTATGTAACATTATGTACCGCGTATTAAATACGTATTTAGATTTGATAGGCCCTATATTATTTTTTTCATACAGTTAAGTTTTTCTTTCTGTCTTCGTTATATTATTATTTTAAAATCTACGTTTAGTACCTTATAATATTAATTTTAGGGACCGTTTGGCCTATTATAGTCTTGCGCATAAATTGTAGATAAACGGGTTTCATTCAAAGATGATTTTGCATATATACTTAAGAGAAAAATAAAATTTTAAGGAAAAATATCAAGAGGAATGAAATTGCCAGTAAATTTTATGCCGATTAAGAATTTGACATTTATATAGATACAACTTCACAAATTGAGTACTTACGCCAAAAGTTAAGTTAGTCCGCCCCTTAACCCTGCCCTCCACCTGGACTAAAAATTGCTCATATTTATTCCTCGAGTTAGTCTTTGTTGCCCAGTTGTGGATTATATATTTGGCTCCGAAACCCGATCGAATAACATTTAATTCGAGGATTAAGTAGCCCGTGACTCCGAAACCCATGAGAGTAATTCAGGGACTATGTAACTCTCGGAATAGACTTAGTCGTTGACTAGCGTAATCCTGGAGCTCCGAAACCCGATTTTTTAGTCCTAGAATAAAAACTGGTTTGAACTGGATTTTAGTCCAGGAATAGCGTTAGTCCCGAGCTCCGAAACCGGCCCTTTAGAAAGTAAAAAGAGGTGATAAAAAATGGCAACAGGGCGATTTTTACTTACAAACGTATTGTTAAGCATGGAAAATCAACCAATCAATTTTAACACTCCAATCGAGCCGGAGTCTGAATACTTACAAACCACCCCGCACTATATCCGTGGTGTTGTAACTACGCGTCATCTGCTTGGCTCGCTGCTATGCGTCATCAAAATGGACTCATCCCCTGAATTTAGCCTTTATCCTCTATCCTTTAGCAATTATTATTTTATTTTATTTTACAACGTATAATGAAAGAACAGGTGATTACAAGAAAAGGTAATGGTTGCTGAGTCAAAATAGATGTATTTCGTTACTTAATCTGTAAAAGAATATTGCGATAGGTTTGCACAAATATGCTCGTAAACATATTCATATACAGTATAACAGCACAATATCATGAATGAGTGGGGTTGGTGTTGTACTGCAGCAGCAAAGCTTCACCCCTCTCTAATTGTAGCCTCAGGAATTTAAGAAATGAGAACTGCAGTCATCACTGGGAGAGAAAATGATATCGTACAAGATGGCTGCGTATTTTATAGACACAAGGAGAGACATATTTAATGGATTTGGTTGTGGTACATTTTTGCTTATTGATTGAGCGAAGGGTAAGATCCTAAAAGGATGTCGCCAGGATGTAAACGTGAGCTGGGTTTCTTTTCCAGAGCTCCAAAGTCAACATTTGTTCAGACGACATTTACAGAGGTATAGATAAGGGATAGATAATACTATAGCTATGTATACGTGTAGCAGTATAACTCTGTATTCGGTTATTTTCTTTAACAACCATTAAATACCGTGTTCTTACGGACGCCATTTAATCAATTTAATTTTTGAATTAGTCAGAAACTATTTTTGTAGATATTTAAATATTTTTGTGTGAATATATTTTATCATTTATCATCTTTCATAAAACCAACAGCAAAGGCTTTATAGTTTACTTAAGTCAATGTGAATAGAAATATAGTCAACTACATGACT